GAGGGAGGGAGAACAATCTGCTCTCAAAGTGATTCAGCTAGTTGCAACACAGTATAGTATAGTACATTTATATGGGAAATATCTGTGCCCTTCTAACTGCTTCAAGTAGAAGTCTGAGTCATGTTGGCCACAGAAGGAGTGAAATAATCTGGGAAGGCTCACTGTTTGGCTTTCCCAACTAATGTTATCCAAGAGAAATCATTTAGAGAAGAGACTATACTTGAGCAGATATGGAATGAAGTTATAATTATACTAAATATAATTAATATGTATTCTTTAGTGTAAGTTACTAGAGCTTTGGTGGTGACCCTGGAAGAACCGGTGTGGCCATGAGGAAAATCTGTCAGCATCAATTAGCTCTCTTCCCACTTGTCATTGTGGTTTTGGTTTCTTCTCCGCTTCCTGATATTATTTCAGAAATTAATTTAAGAACATTCACACAATTAATTACTTGCCGTCTTGGGATCAATTGGTAAATTTAATGATGAACAGGAGCCTCGAGCATCGGTCGGACTCTTGTATGGGTACACCCAGAGCAAACAATGGCAGCGTATATGGAAATAGTCAAAAATGCATGTCTTTCGTACTGGTTTTCATTGATTACCGTTTATTTCATTTATTGTATTTCCCTCAGCAGGAGCAATAAATGAAACGGACATTTACTTTTGTCCAAGAGTGATTTGCTGGATGATTTAATTTCTTGAGGATGAGTGCTGCAGAGCAGCAAAGACAGCAGGATGTTCCTCTTCTTGTTGTTCTTTTTGCCCGTCACAAACTGCATTGGAAAACAAAAACAGCCAGAGCTTGACAGCTCGGTGAGATTTAAATAAAGGAGAGATTTTAAATGGAACAACCATTCATCAGTTCAAGGAGAGGGAAAGGACTTGCATTCATGAGGCATGTTCACTTGTGTCGTGATCCTGGGCATCTGAGTGCAAAATGTATTTAGACTGCAGCAGATATAAAGGAAGCACACATATATACATTTCTATTTTTCCCTTTAAAATGCATAAAAAGGAGGAGAGATTGTTGGGATTTGGTTTGTTGGCATCGTATGTATGGAGTGCAAAATGTATTTAGACTGCAGCAGAAATGAAGGAAGCACACATATATACTGGTACATTTCTATTTTTCCCTTTAAAATGCATAAAAAGGAGGAGAGATTGTTGGGATTTGGTTTGTTGGCATCATATGAGGGTTCAGGTTCATGTTGGTTGCTTCGCAGACATCGTATGAGGGCGCAATATATCCAGCAGAGATTGGGTTAGACACAGGCTTTTAAAGAGTCAACATTTGATAGATAATGTATGCCTCGCAATATATCCAGCAGAGATTGGGTTAGATCCAGGCTTTTAAAGAGTCAACAATAACATTTGATAGATAATGTATGCCGTATATGCTGGATACACTGGTCAATATCCTAGTCAATGTTTGTGTAGCATAAATCCCCACCACCGTCTTGTAAAACTGTGCTGGATTACACTGTAGCTTAAACAACTGCAAAATGGGCCCTGCAAACCCTCAAAAGCATTGTGTAAGTATGGTAGGGAACCTTGAGGATCACACATATGCATACATAAACATAGGCAGATTAAACTGTGCAAACTTCTGCAAGTGGAAGAACCTAGTGTGCAAAAATTTGGGGGGGAAATCACTTTCTGTTAGTCCCAAGAAAATATTACTAGCTGCCCCACTGAATTTTTATGCAATGGGTTTAAACATCTGATTAATTTTTCAGTGGAAATCAATGGGAATTTAGCTGTATTATGCTTAGATATTATATACAGGGTTTGCCCTGCTGGAAATATGGTCCTGTGAGCTCTTGGCCAAAGAAGTAATTTCTCCACTCTTGGGAAAGATTTTCAAGCACCTTGGCAAAGATGATGGGAACAAAACATTATATCAATATTTGTATTTTATTTGTGATGCATGTATAAATATGCCCACATTTATGGAGAACTGGTTTATCAAAGACTGGCCTCAATGAGGCACTCTTGTTTGAACAGGATACTTCAAGCTACCATACATGAGGATATGTCATATGGTAAGGTTGTGCTGGCCTTCACACTCTAAAAGTGAAGAGTGTGAAGGCCAACACAACTCAGAGTGGGATATGGTCGTCTATTCTGAGAAACAGGATTTTAGATCAGGTAGATGATACACATTGTCCACCAGAGCTCTTCTGAAGGTCTTCTGTATGAGTTTATTTATATTTGAGAGGGCTAAATAAAGTATACGTATATCTATATGCTACATTTTCCTAAGTCTCTGAAAATTCAATTTAATGCGCTACTTACAACAAAATCCACCATTAGTGTCATATATAGTCAGGGTAATTCTGTCTACAGAACAAATTAAGAACTGCAAGACATCTGGTTTGCTCACAGATCTGTCTGAAGGAGTGCTTTTTTCTTGCTGCTCACACAGAGGTTTTATAGGAACCACATTTTCTGTTGCAAGTGATCTGACAGCTTCCCTGAAATTCATCACAGACAGTTATCAGTGGCAGCCAAAAGTCAGAGGGATTTACTTAATTAATTGTTTGTTTGTTTATAATATTTTTTAGCCGCACCATTGCCAGTGGCTTCTGGGTGTACAACATTAAAACTTAAAAACATTAAAAACATTTTAAAGGACAATATAAAATAGCATATATTAAAATAATTTTTAAAACATTAAAATTAATAAGTCCTGCTGCTCATATGGCCAGCTAGGGAATATTGTTTAATTAAAATGCTGGCTGAACAGAAAGGTCTTTGCCTGGCGCCGAAAAGCCAAGAGTGTTGGAGCCAGGCGGATCTCTCTAGGGAGGGCATTCCAAAGTTGGGAGGGCAACAGCTGAGGAGGCCCTATTTCGACATGCCATCCCCCTCACCTCTTTCAGGGATGGCACCTTCAGAAGGGCCTCCTGGCCTGATCTTAGAGGATGGGCAGGCTCATATGGAAGAAGGCAGTCCTTTAGGTAACCAGGTCCTAAGCCGTTTAGGGCTTTATATGTCAAAGTAAGGACTTTGAATTGGGCCCGAGCAGCAACCGGCAGCCAATGTAAATTTTTCAGAACCGCCGTGATATGAGTACGTGCAGTGGCACCACTTGCCAGCCGCACAGCCTGGTTCGGTGCCAGTTGCAGTCGTCGGACCATCTTCAAAGTCTGCCCCACGTATAGCGCATTGCAGTAGTCCAGTCTGGTTGTTACCAGTGCATGAGTGACTGCTGCCAGGCTCCGCTCATCCAGGTAAGGGCGAAGTTGATATATTCTCCGCAGCTGTAAGAAGGCACCCCTGGACACCGAGTCCACCTGAGCTTCCAAGGTCAGACTGGGGTCAAAGAGCACCCCCAAGCTGCAGACCCTGTCCTTTAGGGGGAGTGTAATCCCATCTAAGGTAGGGAAATGGCCCTTTAACCTATC